GGGAAAAGGATTGAAACTTGATTACAACAAACTCTTATTCCCACGACTGTGAAAAAAGGAGGAAGAAGAATCTGACTGTTGTCTCTTTGCCCATAATTGTTATTGCAGACATGACTACACAGTTACAGGTACAGTGATTAAATACTCATAGACTCTATTTTGAAGGTCAGAAGTTTCTAAAATTGTCATATTTGTCATTGTGACTTATAGCAGCAGAGTTCAGAAGTTCTCAAATCAGGAGAAGCTGCCAAATGCAACCACACTTCAGTAGGTACAAAGTACCCCTTGGAGCAATTCCTGGTTTTGCGTTATCATAAAAGATCCATCAAATTCTAATCACCTCTCATTACTGCACATGCAGAATTTTTTCTTGGTTAGGTAAGTTCCAGTCCTTCTCCTCACCTACTCTGTCCAAAATTTACATAATGGATCAGACCTTTCCGTGACTCTCGGTATTCGTTCTGTCCTTTCCTCTTTCTCCAGCGGGTCACATTCCCAATGTTTCTTCATGATTCAGGGCAACTTTTTATTCACTCATGTGGGTTTTATATTTGGCTGCCATGAAATCAGTATTTGTGTACATACACCTATAAGCACACACACATTTATATACACAAGTAGGTAGCTAGATCCCCTTAGCCTTCTCCTTGCACCTCATAGTGACAGTCCTGCTAATAAGCTATCCTTTAAATAATATTCCCTGTGGCAGAGAATGACTTTTAAATGTTTAGCACATAAGGCATAACTGCTGTGCTTGCACATGGGCCAGCTGACTTGCTGATTAGTTTCTGGATGTTTCTGCCATCAAACCTTTCTATTTTCCACCATCAACAAAATCCCAGTTCAGTCAAAGCCTGAAAAACTAACACTCATTTAACATGGTGGAGTAATGTTTTCCTACAAAATGCAATAGTTTAGGCACAAGATTTTTCTAGCAGAAAATAATTTTAAGAAATTAATTTAGGTGGCCATTTTCTTACTTTGATAAACCCTGTTTTCCATCTGGGGCTGCTTGCCACTCAGAACAAGACTTTCAAAACTCAGCTTGCATTCTGACAAGATGAAACAGAGCTTAAACATATGCAACAAGGTTACTTGCTTGTATACTGATGTAGTTTTTCAAAAGACAGTACCACAACTAGTGCCTTACAGAAATCCTCTCATTTTTCCATTAAGCCAGTGATGTGTGAGTCCTTAAATTGGGCTTTTTGTGGTGCTGAGCTGCTGGCAATTCATGGCAAAGCAAGCCATGTTTGCTATTTAAAACTAGCTGTCCTGCCTTTAGTCATAGACTCTCTGCCTCTCTCCTGCAGAAAACCTGCAAATGCATACACAGAGATGCATAGCTGGAAGAGTCAAACCCAGTTTCACAACTCTTCCAAGTAAGCCTCCGAAATTGTGATGTGATACAATCCAGCTGTAGGCAAGGGAAACTCAAAAGTGTTTAGTCAGTTCTTAGGATGCCTAGATCTGCATAGTTTACTGTACTTTCATGTGCTTTTCTTCTTCCAGGAACTCTGCAGGAGAGCTGAGGACATGAAGAGAGCGTGAAGGAAAATGACCACCAATTCCCTTCTCTTACTCCATTGCTAATTTATAAGATGAACTATCATGAAAATAACACTTGAAATTCAATATATATAATGCACGTTCCCAACATTTTCTGAAATATGCTCTGGCTTAAAAGAAAATGTGAAGCGTTTACACTGAGGGACTTGCTTCTCTGCCAGGAGCCTTGTGCAGCTTTCCCACCATGGACATTAAATGTCAACTGGAAAAAATATGTTGTTTTTATCTTGCATTGAAAATTCTTCAACTTTATTGCATTTGGAAACATAATGTAGTAGTAGAGGGCAACGTTATGTCTCACATATTTAACTAGTTTACAAAAAATATGACCAGTGAAAACATTTTGGATAGAACCACTTCACGCAATAGTTGCGGAATGATGGATCACATTCACTAATCCTTCTTTCTAAATGTTATGACGAAGTAAATGAGCATTTGTATAAAAATGCTGTAACAGTTGAATTAGAGTGTGTAACCTTTGTGATCATAAATTAGAGAGAAGCCCTTGCAGGCAAGAATGTAACATTAAATAAGTAAATAAATAAAAAGGCATCCAAAGCCAAGAGATACAATCTAATACTGAAAATGTTTGAAAATATTATGTGCCTAGCATTAATCACTAAGGGTCTTATAGTATAAATTGTCTCACAGGTCAAAGGGACACCCACAGGTGGAGATTAGTCATTTAAAAGACATGGGTAGAAAACGTGATTTCAAGTACTAAAACTGTCTTAAAGTCAATTTCTCTTTCATTTTTCAATTTTCCTGCCCTGTTTCAGGGTGAAGGGCTCATAACACCTGCAGTATATAAGGCTTTTCCAATCAGTAACTGAAAGAAAATCAAGGCAAAAGGGTGTTACTCTTCCAGATCCAAGAACTTCAGTTGTAACTTACAGCTGTGCATCAGTAAGCTATTAAAAATATCTGAATTTGCATCACCTGTTCCCTTGTACACACTGTAACAGTGGTATGTGATCCTCAGATGTGGAATTGGCACAGGATGCCATGAGCACCTGAGGGATGTCATGTGCAGCAGAGACTTTTCTGTCTGTAACCCCAGCTCAAGAGGAATCTTAATACTGAGAAATCAGATTCCAGAAGTGGTGAGTGCCTCCTGCCTGACTATATTCTGTAAGCTTCCATTGCTGTCTGGATAAAAGACTTCCCCCCTGCCCCCCCCCCCCCCCCCGTTACTTTGGAGCTTATAGGAGATGGGGAGGGAAAGAAGGGAAATTCAGCAAGGAAACTTGCTTATTTGCAGGTTTCACTGAAAGCAGTGAGAGCTGTGGAGCCTAAAACTTCTGAGGAAAAAAACGATATTAATAAACAAACAAAACCCAAACCCACAAACAAATGACAGAGGCTTGATTAATCTCTTCTTAAGAAGACTTTCTGACTTCCCTAATAGTCTATTTTAGTTATTTTAGTGACATTTCACAGTGGCTCGGAGCTGATCACCTTTTTTTCCTCTGACAATCCAGGCACTTCAGTCTCCACAATCAAAATGAAGAAACTTTCAGATATTTCTGACAGGCTTGGCAGAAATCTGGTCTTGGCAGAAATTGCACTGAAGAAAGAAGGCACTATCACTGCTATGAATAGTAATTGTGAAGAGGTACCTTAAAACAATCTGATGCAAAGATCAGTGCTGTACCTTTTGCATTGCTCAGACAGTAATATTACCTGGAGTGACTAAAGCTTTGAGCAGCACTGCTGACCAGTCATTTAACCATTCATGTCCTGCGTGCAGAAACGATGCTCCCTACTCCCATATTCCCATTTTAACGCAACACTGCAGAAAGTTAGTGTGCAGTGACAGCGGCACACAGTAGTTTCTATGTTAGTGAACAAAGACTATTTTTAGCCCCTAAGCAAAGTATGTCTCTTTGGTCAAAAGATCTTAATATTTAGCAGACTCTAAATAATCAGTGAATGCATATTCTATCCCATTTTCCACACTAACAAAAGAAATGGTGGATGAACGTAAGTTTTTTGGAAGATGAATTCAAATAGAGATGTAATCACAGCAAGCAGCAGTTTACAGCAGAAGCATACGCTATGTGCTTTCAAAGGCATCTCAGGTCCTGTCTCTTTTCTTTGACTACTGAAACCAGTCTCCAGGCTAAAATCCCCAGTATATGTGCCCAAAAGTAAATGTTGTAATTCTCTTCTCCTTTTTCCTTCCTTCACTATTGTCTGTAAGTCCCCTGTAGCTCAAAACTAGAATCATAAGTCCTGTGCTTGGGCACTATCTGGTTGGTGTATGCCTGGGCAGGTGTGTGTGCACATACACGTGCAGGTAGGCAGATCAATACACAACTAACTTCTCAGAAAGGAAAGAAATAAAACCAATGAAGAGAACAGAATCTACACTAAGCTAAGTTTTCCCTAAGTTAAACTTGGAAATTTAGCTCATATTTTACAGCAAAGTTCAGGTCAGTCATTTTTACCAGCTATACTCCCATTTTCTCTTATTTCATGAGAACAAGGCAGTCTTTTCTCCATGTATACACTGATTTTTTTTTTTTAACTGACCTCATTTTTGTTTTCCTCAGGTGAATGGCTGCTGGGTTAATGCTCCAAGAAGAAGAATACCTCTTAGGACAGAGCATAAATGTGTATGAAATTATAATATCTAACAAAACAAAGGCATACAAACTCCTAAAGTTGGTTTTCATAATGCGCAGAAAGTCTGGGGTTGCCCAGCGTCATAAAGCATTCAACTAATACAGTGACTGTATAAAATCAATAACCTCTTAAATAAAAGCCTACTGGATTTAAAAGCTATGCAAATTGTGCAAACTGCATGAACCATGGCATGTTTCTATCATAGAATCACAGAATGGTTTGGGTTGGAAAGGACCTTAAGATCATCTAATTCCAACTCCCTGCCATGGACAGGGATGCCCTGGGGCTGAGAAATAGCACTTGATTTGGTTCGGGTGACCTTGTCTTGGCAGGATCCACAAGATGAATGAGGGTGAAAAGAGAAGACAGTTCACTTTTTAACTTCAAAAGCTCAATTTTTTAACTGAAGAGATTCAAAGCCAAGTGCCAGCATTCAACATCAGTCAGCATACAGGATAGCATGCACAAATCTATGCCATATTAGAGAGCATCGGTAAAAATTAAAGTAAGGAAAAGCAAACTCAAGGGGATGCTGACACATGAAATCCCATCTACATTCGGGTTAGTAAAACAAGTAAACATATTTGCAAGGCTGGTATGACGTAGGAAGGTTTTCATTCCTCAGTTCAACTTTAAGATAAAGCAGACTGTTCCATTCAGACCCCAATATTTCAAGTTCTCCTGCAGCACAAGAGAAGCTAAAACCGAAAAGCTAAGGATGATGAAATGAATCCGGATAAGCCATAAATACCTACATACAGAAGCACACGCGAGCAAGACAATGAAAAGTTAGCTGGATTTACCGGTTTAGTTATCCAAGTGGGTGGTTTGTTTGGGTCTGGGTTTGCTTGGGAAACGTCGGGAGCTGTGTTCACGAAGACCAGTCCATACGCATCCGCACCGCGGCAAGCTGCGGAGAGCAGAGCGCTTCCCTCCCCCGCCACCGCTCCCCCCGCCAAAAATGAACAACGAAGAAAACACAGGGAGGGGCGGCACCAGCCGGACCGGCAAACTCCGCCGCCAGCGCTCCGGCACCGCCCCGGCACCTCCCCTGCCAGGAGGAATGCGGGAGCGGGGGCTGCGCGCCGCTCCGCCGCCTCGCAACTTGCGCCCGTCGCGGAAGCCGCTGAAGCGGGGTGGGCAGGGGCGGCAGGAGGCAGATGCCGGGATGTGGCGAGGCGGTCCCCGGTGATGCTCCACCGGCGGTGCCCGCCGCGGGGATGCGGTCGCCTGCGGGCGGTCCCCCAGCTCCGGCGCTGTGGACCGTAGGGATGGATGCCCCCAGCCTGGCCGCGCAGCGAGAGCAGGGGCGTCCCTTGCTCTTGTGGGGCCGCCCTGCGCTTGTGCCACCTTCACGGCTTCCCGAGCAGGACGCGGGCCACGAGGAGCCACGCGAATCCTCGGGGGAGGCTCCGGTGTATCCGAAGTTGGGTGGGAAGGTTGCTGCCTGGTCGTCTGGGGAGGGACAGGAGAGGGGAGAAGGGGAAGGTCCGTTTCAAGCACCCGACTTCTGTGGGATTTTGGATCTTCAGAAGCATGTACTTATGGATGGGACTGAGTGCCCCCTCCAAAATGTTATGACTGGGCTGTGAGGAGATGCCAGGTTGCATGTAATGTGGTGCAGAAGTGGACAAGTGTGTGTGCACTTCTGCAGAGGTGAAAGAGCATCCAGCAGTCATACATTTTGCGTAGGAGAATTTGAAGTGAGTGATACCTCTGTGACGTGCTCGGACATGCCTGGGGGGTGCCTGACCTGCTGTCCCTGGGCTAAGCCCCAGGATCTTCAGCATCTACCAACAACTGCACATCTATTCGGTGTCCTTCTTAGCAGCTAACAAGGGGCCTCTGCACTCAGCATGTCTCCGATGGTTGCTTCTTGCCCATCATCCAAGGAGGCCAAGTACCAAAAGGACAATCTGTTTGGAAGCAGAGCTTTGACCGCTTATGTGCTGTTTGCAATTCACTTCCCTGATGCATATTTTGCCTTGATACTAAGTAATCCTACTTGGTAGTAATCAAGTGATCACCCTTGATACTAAGGGTGCTGGTTAGTACCCTTTCCTTTAGCTCATGATGTTTGCTGCTCGCTTGGGCCTCTGTTTGTATGAACCCTTGTTTTTGAAGCAAACCAAAGTGTGGTCAGTGAAACCACTCTCTATTATACCATCACAAACTTTTATTCCACAAAAGCTTTAAAAAGTTGAAAATACTAGAAGTTAATTTACAACTTTAGATATTCAAAAAGGCAAAGGCGTCTCAAACCTTGAGATGCTCTAACAACTATCTGCATCACACGGCCACACTGTAGTTCCATCAGTCTGATTAAGGGCAGTTCCCCTGGATCATTTGGTCCTTGCCAGGTTCTGAGATGGCTGCTTACGACTTGCCTTCTGCAGGCTTTTAAAGTTCCAGTTTTACACGAGCTGAACACAGGTTTTTCTTTTGCAGGTTTTGGCACTAGTGATGAATATAGTCCTCGCCTCCCTCAGCTATCAGTCACATGTATCTTATGCTAGTGTTAGAATTAATTAATGAGTTTTAATTATACTGCAAGTGACCTTAGAAATATCAACAATAGCAGCAGACCAATCCTGCTCTGTCTGCTGACAGTCCTGCTCTGTCTCTGCTTAGTCTGATGACTAAGAGTTGACTGTTTATGATTAACCTGTGTTGCTCTGTGGTCTGCGTCTGGGTTCGGATTGATGCCATTACACTCAAACTAACAGGAATGGTAAAGTGCCTCTTTTGAACTGACAATTTAGTATATTATTTTTCTGCAGTGCCTATACACTTTTAAAAATAGATTTTCTCCTAGGGAAAACTGTTGCAGTGACATTGATAGTGACAGAAATTCTCTAGTAATTCCCAAAACAGTGTGCAAGGGCATTGGATGTCAGAGTGTGAGCAAGTAGTCTTTCCATCTTCTTCTTCAAGTATCTCCCTAGGACCTCTTGCTTCCTGTGGTGTTTGCTTTGGGTTTGCTTATTGCTGCTTTGCTCTTTGTGTGTTCTTTCAGTTTCAAACTGTGGCTCATCCTTAGATTGTACCCTACTCAGTGTAGTGCCATCTTCAACATCTGATGCACTTCATAGCAATACTTGATTGTTTTAAACGTCTGTTTAGAAAGTGTATGTCAAGGTGAAAGTCATGCAACAGTGAGAAAGGCTTACTCATCTTAAGTGATATTTGCATTAGTTTAGATAAAGCTATTTAATACCCTGCATTTGAAAAAAAGAAAAAATAAACAAAAACGTAGGTCAGCGAACAGGTAATAGCTGCATATGGGGCCACTACGTTTACTGTAGGAAGAAGGAGGTCCATACTTCTGTACGTAGATCTCAAGGTTTTTGATAGTTATTTTGCCCTGAGTTTCTACAGCACCTGCTGCATTAGAGTGCTGATCCTGGACTCAGGCTCAAGACTCTGTGACAACACAAATAATAATAATAATGGATTGTTTGAATGATGAATAAAAAGAAAACAAAATAGTCTGTGGATGCAGAGCCCTGTTGAGATTTGTGACATGCATTTCAATTCCTTTCTGAGAGATTACATTCCCTGTTTTCTGTTTCCGAACAACATTTATCATCAATGACGTTGCTAGTCCCAACTTCTTCTTTTGAGCTGACCCAATTAGTCACCAGAGGCTTATTGTTGTTGATGATTTTCCAGGTCTGTTTGTGGCCAGGAGAAGCCCAGGAGGGATTTCCGTCCATTTTACCATAAACTCTCCACAAACTAAACCAAAAACTCTGAATTTAAAGACTTCAACAAGGTTATAGAAGGTTTGCACGCGTCACAGTCACCCTCCAAAAGACAGTCTTTCTTAGCTCTTTGCATTTATCACCTTAGGGGGGTGGGGGATCAAAAAAGTGGCACTGCCCTGCAGTGCATTCAGAGCCTTGGGAAGAGATGGGTCTTATGGAGTTAGTTATTCTCTGCACAAGCCAGCTAATGGCCTCTCCAGTGTCTCAGCTCCCAGGACCGGTACAATAGATGATAATGAGCTGGTGTGTATAGCTGGTGGATAATTTGTACCTCCTGTGGCATTCCTTTTTTTGCAGGTTTTGTTTCCTTCTGGGATGTTTCTTTCCAGGAATGTTAAGAAGCATTAGTTGTTCCCTGCTGCTTCCTCCTTTCCCATTCACTAATGTAAATCTGGTGGCTGGGGTTTGCTGACTGCTGCCTTTCCTCTCTGCCTGGATTGTATCCACAGGCCTGGGGATGCTGGGTTTTTTTCCTCATATGCTTCCTCTTTTACAGGCATTGGTTTGAGAAAAAAAAAGGCTTTTGTTCAGGAAGAACATAATAGCATGCTGGTGAAGGCTGTGGTCAAGCTCCCACTTTTGAGCTGTGGATGGATTAGGAGGTTAATGGGTAGCTACTATTTCTTCTTCCTCAGCTAAGGGTATGCGTGTGGAAATTTATACAGTCACATCTTTACAGTAAACAAAGCAGGACCAGAGCTAGGTCTTGAGCATGAGCATGTCATTGCCTATGCTGTTTAATTTGTATCACACTCCTGGGTGCAATGGTAACTTGTGCTAGCCAGCACTCTGAGCTGATGCCTAGGCATAGTTCAGGCCAAAGGCTGCTTCTCTTAAGCACTGAAGTTACAGTGTAAGTGGGGTGGGTGGATTTAAAGTCAGCTGTATATAGACATAGTGGCTTCTTTAATGTATTTCAGCTGCAAGGATCTCAGCAGAGTATTTTGTAGTAGGGAGTAGTCCCACCCCCCAAGAAAACCCCACCGTGGAAATTAATTACTTACCATAAGTAAGTAATTCATGTTGTAATTTGGTATTTCCTGTTTCTCTTGCTCCCTGCTACCTCTTTGTTATCTTACCTCCCTTGCGTTATCCTGACACTGCATGTCAGTTGTAAGACAGAGGGTCAAAGAAAGGTTTTAGTGAAGCTATTTCAGTTGTGACAGGAATGGGTTCCTGTCGTGGTTTAAGCCCAGCTGGTAACTCAGAACCACCCAGCTGCTTCCTCACTCTCCCTCCTTTCTTCACCCCCCCCCCCCCCCCGAGGGATGGGGAGGAGAATAGAAAGAATGTAACTCTCATGGGCTGAGATAAGAACAGTCCAGTATAACACAAACCACTACTGCTACCACCAATGATAATAATGATGAGGGAAATAACAAGGGAAGAGAACACAACCGCTCACAACCCCCCCGACCAATACCCAGCCCAACCCTGGCAGCGATCTAACCCTTCCGGGTAATTGCCCTGAGTTCTACATCCTGGGCATGACATGCTGTGGTATGGAATACCCCTTTGGTTAGTTTGGATCAGGTGTCCTGTCTCTGTTTCCTCCCGGCTTCCCTTCCTCCCTGGCAGAGCATGAGACTGAGAAGTTCCTTGGTCAGAGTAAACATTACTGAGCAACAACTAAAAACATTGGTGTTATCAGCTCTGTTCTCAGGCTGAAAGTCAAAACCACAGCACTGCACCAGCTACTAAGGAGAAAAATGACTGCTACTGCTGAACCCAGGACAGTTCCACTACGCCCTTGGTCAGAGCCACACCCGTACACAAGGCATTTGCTTTCTGGGGTGTGAAGAGGTCTCCCTGACCGTGTTTGTGCAGACATAACCAAAGTCACTAAGCACAGCTTGAACTGATGCAAGAAATTAATGTGGTGAATAGTGTTGTGAGAAGAGATTTCCTCCTGCTGGCTTTATGAAAGATAAGGATAAAACTTGCTGTGTAGTCTCTAGGGTCACACTGTCTTGGAGAAGATGCTCCTCCTTGGCAGAGACATTTATCAGGACACAATTCAGCATCACAGAAGATAGGTGTGACTTTTCAATTTTTACTGCTCTGCTTTTAAAAGAGCTTTAGTTGACCATCTTTTCCCCTTTTTAAATCCCTCTTTTTTGCTCTCTTTCTGAGTGTATCTAGTGTACAAATCCTGACTAGCTTGTATGGTATGGAGGGAGACTGAGTCAGTGTGACACAGGGATTTGGAGCAGGTTCAGCTCAAGGACAAAAGCCCCACAGAGCAGTGTGAGGGCTCAGTGGGTGGCCTCACGGACAGGAGAGGTGAGACGAACCTTGCTGAACCTGCAGTGCAGCTGCTAGTGTTTGCATCAGAGCCATCTTTAGGAGCTGTTGCTGAGTCCCAGGATGACCTAGGGGCTGATGCCTCACAGTTCTTGCTTTTTCTATTTCACTATAAATACTTACACATTTGGGATAAAATATGATGTGCAGATGCCAGGGGTTATGATGTTACTATTTACTCTATGGTGTCTAGAGGGTAGGGAGCAAAGCCTTGTTAACTCTACCTTGCACAACCATCACAGTGATGTGCTGTGGTATGCCCTTAATGAGGGTCAGCAGAGCAGTTCAGCAGGGGCAGTGACAGAACATCTGTGGTTTGCAATACCAGGTGCTCAGTATCTCTCAAAATCAGACTATTTGGTTGCATTTTTTAATTATAACACT